TTAAATTTCCTCGAACAAAGCTTTCGATTAGCGGGTTTCTAGTAGGATATATCATATACAACAAACTAAATTGATATATAAATTTAGTATATCATTTATTCTATATATAGAATAAATGATATCAAAATTCAAAGCAGTACTGCGCACTGAGTTCAGGATGTCTTACTTAATTTCAAAACAGCCATGACCATTGGAAAAGTAACAAACTAGGGAAGTAAACGACTGAAAAAGGATAAAGGGTTTATGGTAACGACCCTGTGGTAACAGCTCTTCTTACAGAATTCGTCTCATAACCGAGCTCATTGACATTAACATACAAATGTCAAAAACGCCTCTGGTCTCCACACCAGGTGTTTATTCATTATTCTAAAAGATAATTGCTGTTAGTCTCTGTCTAGGGGAAAAAAGCTTGTATAGCTTCAATTTCAACTTTACCAGGTTATGTTAGATAGCAATAATGATATGATAATTGACAAGGCGCGGCTAAGGACAAACTCGCCACAATGTTCAAGACAGGAAAATATAATTGAAAATGTTACAACGCTAAGGGTCTATAAGTATAATAATAAAGGGGTGTTAATAAGTAAGGTTTATTCAAGGTTTCGTCTAATATAAGGGTCCTGGCACGTCGTAGCCAGGGGGGTCTAAGGGTCCTGTACAGACGAGTTTAACCAGAATAAACCTGGGACAGGGCGCTTCAGCCGACATACAAAGGACAGTGGGAACCAATGTTGAAAGCTAGATTATTCAACCGATTAAAATCGACTTCACACTTCATGAATCTACGATAAATATGCACTTAGAAGCTGTGTACTCAGACAAAATTCCTAAAGCAAAATACTCGCAAGATAAAATCCATATCCATAGGACAATCACGTCTCACGATCGGACAGTCTTGCAATTTCATTTTCATGCTGATGCTTAATTGCATATGCGTAGCAAGGCTCCAAAATTATTGAGATATATTATTTACTCGTATTAGTAAAGTGGCCTTCTGATTTTAAATTATGGAGACATTTCGAATTTTGATGCAGGCTACCTGGTGGGTGCCCCTTACGGCACACGTACGAGAAGCTACAATAACAATTAGTTAAGATGCTTTTGTTGTTTCCTTAGCTTTATGTAAGTAACATCACGTTGAACATTGAAGCTTGCAGTACATTGCCCATACAATGTTTAATAATCTGTCTCCTAAAAACACAAAACTAAAACGACTGAAAATTAAATTGAGTTATAAAAACCAATATCAAGGGACACGGACGTATGAAGCTCAAAGTAAATGGTGTACGGCTTATAATAATGGCATATAATCTGTTATTATCCCGACTTATAGTAATATTAATAGTTAATTATTAGTAATACTAATAGATTATTAGTAATACTAATAGTTAATGACGGTGTAATAAACCAAGCCGAATCTAATCTCCTGAATTTGCCGCTTATAACCTGTGAAATATCTGCACAGACCGATAAAGACAAAGACTTGCACGGCTTCCCATGCACCACGTCCACTGCCTCGCTGACTGTGCAACGGTTCCACTTCATCGGTCAGATTACGGACCGGATATTGTTTGACAAACAAAGACTGCCGGGGAACAATGTTGGTGCTCTGTCGAGACACTTCCAGTCGAGATAAAGCGAAAAATATGATTACCTAGAACAAGCCTTTATTGGGGACTATTTGTTCAATATAAGCAGATTAGTCGCTATAAATGATACCGATATTTTGAGCACGGTGCACACTGCAAAATGATAATGCCTACTGCATAGTTCTCACAATATATCAATATCACTCAGTGGACTGCAGAGGCTGCATTATCTAAAGTTTATAATTTAGATTCTAAACTACGAACACCAATCATCACGGAGTGCGCGACACTTGACTTAGGTATATTATTATTATTGGAACAAAAAATGAACATGGTCTAAGAACAGAAATAGGCGGGATCGTTTACTGGTGTAACTAGCAAAGAGTTATTTAATAAGTTCATCATGAGAAATCAGGCGCTAAATTTATCATCATCGAAGAATATAGCTACACATCATTATGAATGAATCCTATTTAAATATACGGTATGTATTGAAAATTTATATTTTCAAAGATCAAACACATAGCTTACGGCTCAGTCTTAGACCAAAACTTGAAATTGCATGATCACTGCTAAACAAAAGAAAGTAGCGGGACAGCAACCTATGGAAAATACCCTCCCCTCTCCTGGTACGAGGTAGGAAGACAATTAGTCCCTATACTAGACCCTTTATTATACCCTTTACTAGATCATAGTCCCTATACTAGACCCTTTATTATACCCTTTACTAGATCATAGTCCCTATACTAGACCCTTTATTATACCCTTTACTAGATCATAGTCCCTATACTAGACCCTTTATTATACCCTTTACTAGATCATAGTCCCTATACTAGACCCTTTATTATACCCTTTACTAGATCATAGTCCCTATACTAGACCCTTTATTATACCCTTTACTAGATCATAGTCCCTATACTAGACCCTTTATTATACCCTTTACTAGATCATAGTCCCTATACTAGACCCTTTATTATAACCTTTACTAGATCATACGGACGCAAAACATAACATCCGCACAGGTGGGCTGCAGTGTAAACCCAGAATATGTACAACAGTAGGAGTTAGCAGTACATGTAAGCAAAGGACAATCGAGAAAGGGTCCAAGTCTTTCCAGCCGCCTTCCCCTAAAGCCCTAAATTGAATAACAATTCAGCAAATGAGCATGCGCTGTCTGCACGATTTTCATTTTTCATATGTTGTAGAATGTAGGGTATTAAGTGTTTGGAACAATTGCAATCAAGCACCTATACTATATAATCACATTCAGTTGCAGTCCAGAGTTAAAAGAGACTGAATAATGTGAATTGCGAAGGGGAATAGTCTTGATGAACGAGATCCTTTCAGTTTTATTTACTTGGAGTGTGAAACAGACATTGGTGAGGATATTATAAAGTATGGTCGATGATCATTAATTGGATTAAAAAGGGCAGTACATTCGACTCAACTTTTATAGCGACTGATATCATTACATGCCATGATCCAATATTTTTTGTAAACAAAAGAATGATAAGCATAAAAAGAAAGATGATCCAAGTCATTAACGGAGTTCAAAATAATATGCTCATATGAAATCATATTATCGCATGTAGTTTACGACAAACGTACTATAGCATATAGAAGGTCTGCAAGCTCTTGAAGTTGACTCTTGAGTCTTCTTTAATAATAATAATGATTAATAATAATAATGATTAACAACAATATCACAACTTGTTGGACATCGTCGGCCCCATAACCGGTATAATATTAAGCATCAATGGATTTATGATGCACCCAGCCGGAGGAGGCAGGTACATGTGAATCCGTGCGAGAAATTGAGGCGAATGGTGCTTTGATAATAATCATATCAGCATTATGTCTTGATGTCGTGAGATCGGCAAAACAAACGCTTTACATCAATAAAAGATCGTAATACCACTTTTGAAATTAAGAGGAAACTCATCAAAAGCGCGCATGTTATTACCAGTTTATGTAGATTCAATGGTGAAATGTGAGTATACAGGAATTTGTTAATTGGCGCCTCTTCCACAACAAATCTTCTAAGCCTCTTTTACAGCCTGTTTACTGACCACTCATCGCGCTCCCATCTTTTCTAATAACCGGCCACAGGATGAGGTGATATGAGTCATAGAATATACACACAGGTATATACACACAGTTTGAGTTATATACACACAGTTATAGTATATACACTTAGTGTATGCTGTGTAAACATTGCCGTGCCGAGAGTGGAATCGCGTGATGGCACTTCAAGACTCAGTACCTAAACTTAACGAAAAGAGGTAACCAAAATGATCTAGAATGATCTAGAATGATCAGGAATGATCAACAACACAGCGGAATAAATTGCAAACCTCACAGCTTCAGGTTGAACACATAGACAATTGGTATTGGTCAACAGATTCAATGTGCTTAATATAAACCTCCGCACCACCGGGAACTGTGTACGGCAGCATGCGGGTAGGTACTACTAGGTACTACACAAGATCGTATATAAATAGATTCACGTTCCTTTACACCAGTGCAGTGTGATAATGCCGACGGTTGATAGTATGATGCTGAATATGCAGCAACTCGGGTCGTGTTGTGTTTTGTGTTACACAGAATACTACACGAACCGAGCCTCTCAATACTATCAACCATCATCAAACTAATCATATCACGGAGAGACAAGCAACGTTAATTCACATTTAAAACCAAGAAATCACGATATACAGGAAGAAAGCACCATGGGGACTAACACCTAACTAAGATGTAAGCATATCTTAACAATCCAAGACAGATCGACAAAATATCGTTACAATAGATACGAGCGTCGAGCATAGTGGACACAGTACTGCGAGCTCATCTAACATGCTCATCAGGGACTATTGGCTGCACGCATTTCATTCAAATGAGAGCCAATCTTGTGTCCCTGATCAACATGTCTGATGACTTTTCCTCCAGGCTTCACCTTCCCCCTATTGATTAATAGGGTCTAAAAATACGGTATCCGTAATGAGGGACTCCGCCATTTAATCGATCGGTCGATTATGGGATAGATTAAGATTGCAACAGTACCCTGACCTGGTATCTAAATTTAGAACTGATTGTAGTGGAAAGAAGGATTAACTTTGTGTTTGTGAGAGGTGGTGCAGACGTCCCGGTTCAGTAAACTTGATGTAGACAGTAGACTGTAAGTAATTCTATAATTCGTGATCCTTGGGGACGTTGTCAATTTCCTGGATTTTCACCTTGTATCATCCGGTCTGCTGAAAGGATATGACCGAATGTTGTCCTGGTGATTTGGTTTCGATACTATATCTAGGGTGGTCTTTTCAGTTTTCAGTTAGTTACGCATCGTGCATTGATTATTAGCATATTTAACATTTTTGAAATATTCCTCCCCAGGTAACAAGATAAAAGCTGTCCTTTGAAAATGTGACAAATAATATTTCCGGATAAGACAATCCGATTCTCAATAACACATGAACCGATTTTGAATTACAAAATATGGAGTACTCCTGTTTTAACATTACAAATTAAATACAACGCAGAATGAGTTCTGATTTTTCAGAGATGATCTTGATTTTAAATATTTAACCAAACAAATATTTTAAAATTAATTAGAAACGTTAAGAAAACCGGTTGTCTTTAATTAGTCCCAGAAGAAACGAAATTGTAATACAGAAATTTTCCAGCTGAAAATTATATTACATTGTTTCGTGGAGCATATTTTGACGGTAATTTGAAACATCAGACTTTTGTACTCTGCCATCTTATAAAAGATATTACATCAAATTTGGGAAATTTATATATCTTCAATAAAGAAATGAAGGGATTAACTATCATTAAATTTAAACAATAAGACTTATACAGTCACTACGCACTAATTTATCATAAGAAACATGGACAACCGCGAAATATCACTCCAATTAAATGATAATAGATGCACTAATATCATAAACAGAATGTAAGCATTTTAAAAACCGTACTTTCAGGAAGTAGCAGTCGTAACCATGGGAATCTACATGGTCAATCAGACGAATAGACATTCGCGTCAAAGTTCCGAGATCTAAATCTTTTGAACATTTCACGTCACACACAACTCCTAATAGCAAACACCTAATAACAACTAGCAAGCAAGGTCCTAGACTGTCCTATACCTAGTGTCACTTTCCATCTAACCTATGTTAAACTAAAGGTTCAAAACATGTCACCTACAAAAAGTGAAAACTTGATTAGAACCTTCTGTAAACTTGTTGGTTCAAGTTTTCAGTTTCGCTCCAGATTTGTGCTTTAAAGGATTGCCACTGTCGTTTTCACCTCATTCCTTTTGGCCAATTATTGCAAATAAAACCTTTTAAAACTTTTGCAAATTTTTAGGTCGTTCAAATATAACGTAATTAATTTTTGGCCAATTGACTCCAAATTTTATATCTTATTTCTCATTGCTCATTTTTGACGTTTTTGCCAGTGAAACAAAAAACAACAGTGGTAACCCCTTAGTTTTGACCAACCATGTTGTATCAATTCCGATTAGTGTCACACCCTACTTCTATGAAATGACCTACACTCATGAAATGACTTAATCGTTAATAAATCTAGACAAATTAAGGATTTAAACATTCATCAAAAGCATAATAATGAGTTTTGTAATTAGTTCGGTATCTTTTCAATTTAAAATAAATTTCAAGCTCATTATTATCATCATTACAGAAACTTTAAATTCAATATCATTATAAAATATCAAATTTAACTCTTTAAAATAATACTAAAATGTTCAATAGTTTCAAATTATAATAAGTTTGTGTCTGTGTCACATTTAACGACTGGTGATGGTGACTCGTCAGGTCTTGTTCGGCTGTACTCATTAGCGACTAATTGGCTGTATAACTCAATTAATCAACGACTAATTGGCTAGATAACACAACTAATTAGCAACTTATAAAGTTGAATGTGAACCGTTGGACTAATTCCGATCTGTAGAGATTTAAAGTCGGGGATTTCTTTTTCAATTCTCGCTAGATTCTACTCAGCCGTCTTTAACTACTCGCTTTCTGAAAAAGAGTGAGGTTAGATTTCTTCTATGTTGTTCAAGATCCTATGTTTGGAGTGAGCACTGAGTACTGAGTAGTATAATATAATAATACGTAAATTATTGATCTAGTTTTCTAGATACTCTACTCATATTAGTGGAAAGTACGGTCTTATAATTTTGCATCCAACTGATTACCCTGTCGTCACACTGTGCATTACTGCGACAATGGATCAGATAACGTAACTCTATAACAGTGGACAGATTTAAGGTTGTCGTAAGACGAATTTTGCTGGTGGTGGTGAATTCAATCTAAATAAACATGTAAACTGTAAAGGTCTGACCGCCAAACTTAAATTGTACCACTGCAGTAGTTCTACCTTATATCTGCCAGATATAAGGTAATTGCACTTGCAGTTTAAGAGGCATTTAATTGTATCATTTATTTATCCGGAAAGTATGATTCCAACGTGACTAAGCTACTTCAAAGTTTCATAATAACTTAATTTGAAAGCTAGGGTAAGGTTCATTCGATCATGAGGTCAAGTCGCATGCTTATGGAAATCGTATGTGCGCGGCTCGACGGCCACGCACGTGAATATTTATTTCTCAGCTAATATAATTAAGCTAGCTCAGCTAGCCACGCCAGCTCGGTCTCATAATTCTACACGGAAAAGTTCTGCGCGCCCTCCTTAAAAGTGATATAACATTTTGCAATCTCAGCTCCAATCAGTAAGACGGAATAATTGGAGCTGAAAAAAAGGGTATCTTTCCAAGAAATTGTTTAATTATAGAAGTTTTGTTTCTCAAGGATCTATTCAAACCCCGACCAAATGCAAACCAAAAACAAACAAAACCACAACTGTGAAATTGTGGGGCATTAAGTACCATGGCACTATGTACTGAAGCGTGTAGTCATGGAGCAGGACACCGGAACTAATTTGGTTTAATAATTAATTGATTGGATCTACAGAACGCTCCACCTTATTTCTTTATTAAAATTTTGAATTGTTCGCTAATCCAATAGCAATAGCTTTCCAAACTCGTTTGCATCGCTTCAGAACAATAAAGCAGGATGTAAGGCGACCGTGAAATTGACAAACAATGCTCATCTCCCCACTGCTTATTAATTTCCATGCTTTTTGTAACCGTTAATACCAGCTGTGACTACCCTGCTCAAAGTTGCTGGGAACACACATTAATATACCTCAGTTCGAACAAATGTACTCCTTACATTAACACTTGTCAAAGCATTTCTCTAAAAGCAGAAAGGTTTGATTCGGCAGAAAGTCTACCTCAGCTATCCTGGCTACGTCCCTGCTCAGCAGGCCAACATCTAGAACTGGAGGAGAAACTACCCACTACACTGCCGGGAGCCTGGAGGAAGTGTAAGCCTAAAACATGCCATCTAGGTCACTAGGTGTCAGGGCTGAAAATATTTCAACCAACACTTCAGAAGGTGTCATTTCCTGAACAGTTTTCAGAAAGGAGCCGACCATTCTCCTTTAATCCAAATATCTGTATCCGTCAAAATGAGAATATATCGTAAATCGATGATTTGATATAGTTTACAGTATACTCCAGTGTATGGTAGCTGAATGGTACCTCAGAAGATTCATTTGGCACTATTGCCAGGGTCTGTCCTTATTTAACCCTAAATCACAGTTTCCGATCATTGTGCTGAGTTGACTGTCTGGCCTGGACAGACTTTTTTGAAGTCCTTAGCTCTCCCCGGGCTACAGAGACCATATTCCGACAATCTTCTGGAATACTGTTATAACAGCTGCGGATACTTATATTGGAAGTTCTCCTGGACTATCGATAGGAAGATTTACAATATTAGTGGTTGGAACTAGCATATCACACACAGCCCCTCAACTTGTACTTTTTGTATATTATAATATCACATTAACAAACAGTAATGTACGTAATTACTGAACTTAATAAAGGGTTGTTGAACACGTACATTTGTACATCTGTAAGCTCATAATATTGTCCCTATTGTGCACCTTCAACTTTGTCATCCAATAATTATAACTGGTTGAATGAACCTTTTGTTGTGCTTTGTGTACACTATGTGCCCAGTACAGAACTAATATGGCCAACTGCCATAAACTAGGCCCAGTCCCAGCCCTCTATAGAGATGAAAGGCTGCCAACCAGTCCCCGCCCCAATAGAGCTGAAAGGCTGCCAAATACAGGGCCCAGTCCCCGCCCCAATAGAGCTGAAAGGCTGCCAAATACAGGGCCCAGTCCCCGCCCCCCTTTTTACAAAACGACACACCAAACATGCCCACTCCAACTCTACAGTGCACTTCTTTTTCAAAACCCACCCCATATAAGGTCACTCCAGAGTTTTACAAAAACAGGTAACTGGTACACAGGGCTATTAGATCACTACGAGAAGTTTCGTACAAGAGTTGGACTCGCCGAGTGACGGATAGTGTCAGCAGAGTGCGTCACGTACGGAGGCCTGTCAGAACATGTTGCATGAATATTCAATAATATGTGCAGTGCACAGATGTGTCAATGTTTCTTAAGGAGATGTGTACTTAGTTCTCGTTTGAACTCTGCAGAAACCTATTTGCACGTGATGCACCCACTCACATAGGTGTGGCGGTGTTTGACTGTTTCCAGCGCATTTCCTAATCCAGTCAATTTCTGGACCCTAAACTTAGCGTGATTCAGTCAACTTTTAGAAGATAGAACCCGTACAAAGTCCAAAATTTTTACTCTAAAATTTAAATATCATATAATATAATAATATATATACAGCAAAACCTGAAGGGTTAAAAAGATATTCTTACCTGTTGGGAGAAGGTCTGTCTGAATCTTAATTCCGTGTAAGCGTCAATGCAGGCAAACGTATCCGTGATAATGTTGTTATAGAGACTCGTCTTATCAGTCTGAAATGTAAACAAATCTGTTATAATAATGTTATAATATGTCATAATAACCCCACATAATGTTGCATAATAGGCACATAATTGTGATTTACACCATAACACCATGTAAGTTGATTGATTGATTATTATGTCTGTCATTATGTATTAAATGTGCTGCTGAAACTCATCGGGCGGAGGATTCTCCTTGTCAATATAGTTTAGAGCTCAGGAAAGGTCTATAAATAATGCTGTTGCTACATGCTGAATATAATACGTGTCTCTACACTGTGATGATTGGTCTGAAGAGTGATGTAAGAGTGGGGAGATTGCCGGCTAAGAGTGGGGGGAGAATGGAGATTGCCTGCTTGTCCGTGCCTTGGACCAACTTGATCTGACTACTTGACTAGGCAAGTAGGCACACGCGACTTGTAGATCTTTTAAACAACCAGAGATCAGATACAGTGTAACAGTGTTACTGCCTTTGCGGCACACAATCATTTTGATGTTTCAGAAATTTTCCGGCCAAAGTTTGATGAAACTTTAGGGAGGTCAAAATAAGTCATTACCAGGAATAGGATCCTCAGTCGGTATTGAGACATTTATATGAGATATGATATCTGGGTGCAGGGATTATGCTGCACACCGCGCACCACACTGCACCTGACTGCACTGCGTGTCACACTGCACCTGACTGCACTGCGTGTCACATCTGTGCCACACCATACAAAACACTTATCACATATATCTTAACTAGTATCCATTGTAGAGAGAGAGAGAGAGAGAGCGGGCTCCAAAGGGAGGGGTTACACAGCAACTGCAAGACTTTACTGACAGCACAGGTGTAATAAACTCAAGGTAAAGCACTTGGCTCACTATCAACTTTTTTACGTCAACAGTGCACGTGATAGGTTTTTGAGCCGCGCAGCAGCCGATAAAGGGCTCACGTGACCGATACGTATCCGTCACGTGACCCCTATATAAAGCCATTAGTTTAACTATTGCCAGCGTTTTCTGGTATGATATGATATATCTTATATAAGAAATATCTAGATATATTAAATCAGGAGGGTAGGACCGGTCGGAGAAGCTGCACTATAGATAGTGCCGGGATACATTCAGAGAGACTAGGATAATTCTACAAATATGTTCAAATACCATACCATACATGTTGACAAATTTTGGAATACCGGGAATAAGTAGCTTGCGGTGTTGTTAGCTCTCAGTGTGTTCGACACAAATTACAGATATTCGGAAATCGGAGATCTGTCCGTTCATACCAAATGTTTGGGGTGCAGTAAATATATTTAGATATATTCAGAGCATTTCTTTTTGGTTGACTGTATAGAGCTATGGAGATGACAAATTTGGCCATGACACCGATGGAAGAAAAGGCTAATTCAGTATATTATGTTGGAAAAAGAGTCACCCAACCTGAAGAAACTGTTCTGAAGGACAACCGTATACACACCTGTCAGCTGCCCAACCAGAATCTTCATGCAAATCCAAGTACATTTACCGATTCTTGAGAAGTGCAGAGAGTCGAGCAAGATATCCAAAATGAAGTCTTTCTTAATTTCTAAAATTCCATGAATTCTATGACTCGCATTATAATGACAAGGTCATGATGACCTTTACAGTTTACAAGCTTGATTAACGATTATAGCTTCTGTCTCCAAGTCTTTTTTTAATTTCATGCTTTCATATGTGTCCCCGAAGCCATCTAACTACAACTAAGCTCGCTCAGCTGTATTTTTGACAGGAAGAAGTAAACACGGCATTGTGTGTCATAGCAGAGAACTTGCCCCACCCAAAGCTTTAAGCGGGGTTGCAGAGCTTCAGATCTGTTTAAAGTTGTAGCTTACTTGCAAGAACCAAGGATTGGGGTAAAGAAGTGCGTTTACTACGCCTGAACCCATATTTAGGTTCAGCTTATCTCAAGTCTGCTAACGCTGATAATCCTAATAATATAACGAATATTGTAAGTTGAAGAGTTTGCCTAAGTTCTGTAGACATTACATGGACTGGTGGAAAACGATTTGTAGAATCTGGCTCATATTGGATAATGACGTGTGACCGTGCGATGACCTCCTAAATGATATAATGCATGATAATTGAGGTGTTAAGATCCTCAAGAATATGACAACTTGCCAAATGCTGCAACAATTTGTCTCGATAATTTTAAAATCAAAATAAAGATGCCATGCACGTAGAACACATATAAATGTTATATATAAATCATTAAAATCAAACCAAATCTCAACAAAATGTCAACAGAATCTCAACAAGCCAGACAGAAGCTCACCTCGTACTCGTTGTTCATCTGTTCGAGGGTGCTGAGGTAAAGTTTCAAGTCCTCCTCGGTTTCATGGGTGGCCGCTTGTGTGCTGTTCAGGTTTCGGCTGGTCGTGTCTGCTGCTGAGTGACGGTTCTGAGATTTGCCTCGTCGTGAGTTTCGCAGCACCACTGTGTCACCTGGAAATGGTGGATTTAGAAACATTGGGAGGGAGCTTTTTGTTATCGATAATGCATAAATTATCGATATCAAAAAATGAATTTGTTATAAATAAATTTGTCAATATTCTAAGAAATCCTATAGTAGCCGGTAGCAACAAAAGATGAATTTTGATAAATCGTGACTCTAAGGAGTGCCCCGGAAAAGATCGGTCGCTATTTGAGACTATCAGTCTATATGTTTCTCTGTAGGCAATTGTAAGGGTACTTTGCGCGGGAGTAAACCACTTGATAATTTGTAATTATAGGACTGCTAGAATTTCGATAAAACGTGATTTTAAGGAGTGCCCCAGAGGCCAGAGAAGATTGAATTTCGGACAATCAGTTAATATGTCATTTGTAGGCGATTGTAAGGGTACTTTTTGTGGGAGTATTTGATAAGATAAACGGATAATCCACTAAGTAGAGAAGACACTAAGGAGTGCCCGTGATAATGAAACATAAAGAAAATGAGATAATATGTAACAACTTCTTGACATTTGAAGTGGAAAGTATAAGATAATAAGTAACAACTTCTTGACATATGAAAAGTGGTGATTATGTAATGCTGTATAACTGTAGGCAATTCATAACGGTGGGCAATTCGAGAAGTTCTTCTTATCGCAATTTTATTGCAACGGCTTCTCGGTTAAACTTCCATAATTGGTCATTTTTCTCCATGAATTTCGCAAAAACAGTTGAAAATGGTATCACGATAAATATAACTAAAATGACACGTACCAATGGTATAATTCTGATCCTCCAAATCCCTGAGCTGGTCTTGGTACGTGCTCACCATCTGCCGCTCCTCCTTGAGCTGCGCTTTCAGGTGCTCCTTCATGTAGCGCAGCGCGTCATTGCGCGCTTGCACCCACACATACGACTGAACAAGCTCGTCTCTCACTAACTGGAGGTTTTTGTCGATGGAAGCTTGGTCCACTTCTGGTTCTGCTTTATTGGAGTTATTGGACAGGGCGTTCAGTTCTTCTTGGGTTGGGATCTTGGTGTTTCTGCAGAATTGATTATATTCGTGAATGGCTTACAACTTCTGTAATGTGGTTTAATGCGCCTTAGTCCTAAACACAATGTCTGTTGAATGGTTCAGTGAAAACAATAGCTAAAAATACAATCAGACGTAATTGTTGACATCTCTTTCCAATAAAATGACGTGCTTCTATTACGTAATACATCGTTTAAGCCGTTTTATCCAAGTGCTGACTTATAATCGATTGAATATCCAAGGGTAAAGTTTGCTACAATTAACATTTTAAACGCTGTGAAATTTAACAGGAAACAAAAAAGGAAGGTGAAAGAAGTTCAAATTTTAAACACCAAATGGAAAACATCGGTTGGTAAATTCGAGAATAAAATTTAACCAAAACAAAATTATGTAATGTAAATGTATTTTACTTGGAACATGTAATGTGGAAAGTTTTGTTACTTACGGGTCTAGGATGACGCCGGGGAAGAGTTGCTGTGCGTTCTCGCAGAGACACCTCAGAAGAGTGTTGGAGATGAGAAGGGTGGGGGAAAGGATGATGATCAGGTTGGACAGTGTCATCTTGTTCTGTTTCTCCTGCAACAATTTCAACTTAGGGTTGGGTAAAATGTTGGAATTAAATTTTTACGGGTGAATGGGAACGTTGGGTTATAACTTGCATTTAAAATCAGAACTCAGGGTTGGGTTGAACATACTTAGGGTTAAGTTGCTGATAGGAGGTTTTTCATGGGCGTACGGGGAGCGAGTTTTAACGTCGATTTAAAATATAGCTGTAAATTTCATTTAAGTTTGTGGGAGTTACTTTTAAAATTTCAAACAAGCTGACAACCTTGTAATTCCCAGGCAGCTAACTTTAAGTGGCTTTTACTGTTTACACCATGCAATGTGGACACTAACGTTCTGCCCACAATCAAACTATTTAGCATACTAATGTCAAATAACTAGCATACTTATTACTTATCTTATATTATCTTGTTTGAATTAATTTAAACTTTGGTTCAAACATAAGCATCCCGGACCACATCTCGCGGTAAGTTTGTTTATCACGTTTATATCAAGTTATTCCCACCTTTACTAACAACTACTTAATGGGTACTCAGCAACTCCTTGCGGAATGCTGCTTGTCCTTGTCACCAGCATGTAGGTTAAGATAGCGGCACCCAGCTCTTAGTGCCATATAACCAGCTTCATGTTTAAACCTCTTAACAGATCTAATTTTGGATAACGTTATTTTTAGTCCCAGTTAAGCCGGACAGAGGGTCTAAACTTGCACTTGTACAAATTTGGCACGGGTTCCCAAGGTTTCGCAATTTGGGTGTCTTTATCCCGATGATCTAAGTGAATAAATCTTACAAACAAAACGTGTTGCACGCTTCGACATCTCTATACAGAAACAGGGTCAATGAACGTGCCGAACGTTGAAAATCAGATCACCTTCAAGTGCTGATGACTCATTTGGGACGCTTCTCACAAATTTGAGTGTCATCATTTTCCACTTTACTGTGTCTACTGGCCATGGATGAATATGGCCTTCCTGAAGGTTCTATACCAATGAGCTTGCCTCAAATCACAGGCACTGCTAAGTACACACGGTAGCGCTGACTTCTGAATATATCCCGTAAACAGAAGTTAGGGGGTTTTGCGCCCGGCACAGGGCGAAACCATACAATTCCCTCTGATCACGAGGAATAATATATCATTCATTTAATGATTTTGTAGTTAGATATTATAATGGAGGATAATATATGAGAGTGGAGCTAGGTAACATCAGGAAGGTAGAGTCTGATAGAGACATGTTTGTTGGCCGGTGCCAGGTGAAAAGGGAAGCTACTCAGCTAATGATCACGGATCTGAGGGAGGCACTAACTTCTCTGCAGACACGCGGAACTTGAGATTCTGTTCCACTCAATTAACTTAGTCGTTATTGTTGTACAAAGAAAAACTTCTTCCAGGTAGAACCGGGCACAAACCTTCTTCCAGGAAGGGGGTTCTACCTTAAAAGGGGAGCTGGGAAGCCTAGAAAACCTCCAACAAGTGCCGACCCTCACATTGAGCCAACAATATTTCCTTGAATGGAAATAATAATATTCAGTCTGGAGCTTCTGTTCTTCTGAACCAAAACTAAGCCTCTCATTCCTTGACATCTCAGCTTTGTTTCTAGAGTCGGGCCTGAGATAATCTGATGTACAGCCGCTCTACTAACCATACTGTTAACCACCATAGGCTCTATTCAGCAGATCTCAGTACAATGCCGGTATATTCAAACCTTTCCATATGTCATTTGATATATTCACCAATTATCTTCGTCTCGGCTCTCCCTCACTCGCCCTCCACTTAGCTTCATTTAGGATCACGCCAGTGGCTAGACCTTCACCATGACATCCATGTAGAGCTCCACAACCACTCCTACCCTTCAATTTAACCACAAACTCACCCCATTGGTTCAACCAAGTAAAGTTGACAGGGTCAAATAATCAACCACAATAATATGGCCACGCCACTGGAGAGAGAAATAAAGAGAAAGAGAGAGCGCTCCATTTAAATAGCATATAAATTATATGTGATGCTGAGAGTGGATATGTGATGCACACAGCGAGCATAATATGTGATGCACACAGAGCGAGGAGAGTGGATATTATACCACACACCAGCGTCAGTCCGTGACATGTGCTCATGTAAATTGATGCTACTAAAGATATGGTGTATCTTAGTGCTTGTGTACGTGTGTGTGTGTGTGGGTGAGTTGGAGGAGATAAATATAATCCCGGCTACAATTATTGTGGGGATTCCCTTAAATTATAATACACTCGCCGCTCATTTGCACGGACATGCACTGCAGACACTATCTGGAGGTTTATTAATTATATACGAGCTATCTCCTTGACACAAACTATATTTCACTGCATACAGACACTAGCTGCTATCTCAATTTATGATGATTATATTTATAATTTATAATATACTCCTATAACCTATTCTATCTTGATAAACTCTGTTTTACAGACACTAGCTGCCAGATTCACCAGATCCGCTGGTGACCATTCCGTCATTCAACACGTTCTGTATATGTTTTGATACCACTTATAATGGTGGTGATACGGTACTGATTAGCAGGATGAACCGTGTTGGATATCACACCTTCGTCTACCAATATAGAGATATAATTATGTTCCACTTGGGCTGATTATTGTTATTATATCAGAGCTCTCCCAGGTTTAGAGAACATGTTCTCCTGTCCTCCCTGGTATAATATCTAGGATCATGTTATTATCCCCAGTAAACTGTGGTTATAATCAGCCCGGGGGACGTGTTGAAAGGTGCTACTCAAAGTCAGGTTTAGAAGCAGTGGTTTGTGGCGTCTGCAGTAGAGCGAGTACAGTGAGTGCCAAGTTCTGTAGAAATCAAAACAGAGTCCTCTTTCTCTGAGAAGTGATGTCAGAGGGTGTCGAGACGTGGTGTGAGGGTGTCGAGACGTGGTGTGAGGGGAGGCTCTAATGATGTGACAACAGAGTGGGGGACATAGTCTCGGTTTAGGGGCCGGGCATGGAAATATTTAATATCTCGAGAACATTCTACAGAACATTCTACAGACTAGTTACTAGTAGTAAATTGTAAGATAAAGTTACAGTAAGTATCTACTGCAATATTCAATCTATCGAGAAAATTCTACAGAACATTCTATAGACTAGTAACTTAACAAGTTGTACTTGTAAGATAAAGTTGCGGTAAGTATTTACTCAGTTTAAATTTAAGTTAAAGTAACTTGTATCTACTCAGTTTAAATTTTGAATTACTGCGTAAAGTAGCGGGTGTAGAGTAACAGACTTTAATTCTAAGGTGTGACCTTAATATTGAGGGAATAAACTAGAAACTAGATTTTAACAACTTCAACAACTACTTATCTTCTCTGACCCAAGGATTATTTGTTAAATTTAACCACGCTCCGGTCAACATATTATAATAATAGCTCACCAATCTAGGGAATATAACAAGACTCATGAGTATTATAGTGTACACGTGTGAGTACACCCATTAAAGGTGTGATCCAAGATAACGCAGTTCATACAAATTGTTACACTTGCTACCAAATTGCTAATTTTATATGTGCAGCACACACGTACACCAGAAATTTGTTTATATAATAACTGCGTTCATTGACAGACAGTATTAGTAGACACGCTCGCGTGATAGATAGATACTATGTTGTTGGGCCCACATTTCCTAACAAGACAACACATATATGGTTTAAAGTGTGTTTACAAGTTATATTCTGTGCTAGCCACTTTGCAGTGCCACAACCCTCATAATTTACACAACTCAAGTTCTAGCTGGTCTCAGTCTGAGAGAGATAGCTATTATAACAAGTACTTGATAATATTACACTAAAGAATTTTCTAAAGAATGTTAATTTACACATCGTGTAAAAGGAGTGTGAACCCTGTGCCAGCTAACTTTTACAGCAGATAATGAGCTTAAGGTACACACACGTGACACGCCCACGTGACACGACCACGTGACACGACCACGTGACACGCCCACGTGACACGACCACGTGACACGACCAGAGATCGAGAATGATATGCACGTTGATTAACAGTACGGGGTTCCTATAACTTGGGATCTAGTCATTGTGTACATCAAGCTACATCTCCAGCACATTCATTTAACCCATTCTTCATAATCACATGTTAAAAGGGTAAAATAAGTCTCGTGACGAAAGTCTAGAACCGCCCCCCCCCCCCCCCTCTACATTCCATCTTTACTCACATGCTGAGAGACATGGTTGATGTGGAGACAAAGCCAGGCGAGGGTAGCGTAGTGTTCCGCCGGGAGTTGTCTCAACATGGCACACAGGATAGCCGTCCTCTGCTCACTGTCCTCGTACTCTGAGATTAAACACAAGGTTACATTTTTATAAGGGTTCAACCTGATCTGGGAAACGTCATTGTTTCCTGATTAGTGTACTTTGATTGAAGTATTTTTAATTTTATTTCAGCAAATTAGATAGAGATAATTACAAGACAAGTGTACTTTTACCCCGCTGTAAAGGAACAAGTACATAAAATTTACTCCTCATGTTAAAAACAAAAGGTTTTTCCTTTTTTTCTCCTGGTCCATACATTTAAAAGTTTTATTTTTGGCAACGTGCCAGCCAGGGGGACACACTGCAATGAGGTAAGGGGTGTTGTTAAAGTAGCGATATAGCGCGTCCTGCTTTGTGTGCGGGGTTGCAAGTTCAGATAGTCTGATAGGTGGGCCGGAAGAGTGATGCCAGGAGCCACAACTCACCCCTGAAACCCCAACTTGGAATAGCTTTAATATTGTAGTTCAAACGTGCGAGACTTACCTCTAATTAAAGACATTCTCCAGCGAATACCTTAAATTCTTAATATATTTAACAGGATGACATACAATATTAATAACACCGTTTATGGGATTAGGTGGATGCCTACATTTTAATTGAGGTCAATTAGGTTCAATTAATGCGGTTGTAGTTTAATTCTTGGGCAGGTTTCAAGAAATTATGGTCTATGTTAAATCTATGTTAGACGTGTCTAAAACATTGTCCAATCCGTCTTTTCCTCCTTTACACATCCACGGCCGCATTTTTATACAATTTCTTCTCTTTATAACCATTTTCACAGAATAGGCCACAGTTAAAACCTCAGAATGGAAATAATCTAAAATACAAATTTGAAATCTAAAATAAGAAATATTTTAATTTACCCTGCTGGTACTAACTCTTTTAATTGATTGGTCTAACAACATGCATCATGATAATTCTGATCAAAATTAAGTATAATTTAGGCAGCATAATCGGACATTACGCCAGCTTTCAGTGTAAGCTAATATTAATATTACTCCTATTAGCCTGTATGTATCCTGATTAACACTGACAACCCAATTAGCTTAGAATACTCCATTTAGATAAGGCCGGAATCTCACCCGAACATGCAAGTATAAATTTACAGAGCGAGCATGACCAGCAGGTCATCCTTCATTATTACCGACAGTAGCTCAGTAGATTTTTATTCTGTGTTTGTAGAAGCAGAAAAGGGAGATCTTGTGCAAATTATTCCAGTAAAAACGTGATAAAATTATCGTAACCATGAATGAATCAGGAACGATTCATTTCCAACCAGGTAAACCTGTTTAAAAGATTTTCATATGGCGAATTTACGCTGTTTATAGCGAAATTTCACTGAACGACAGCTTGATATAATTGACATCTCGGTTAATCACATCAGTATTTATAAGCAATTATCAGTATTATAAACTTACGAAGGACTCCCTCGAACTGAGCACCGAGTTGCCGGGTTAGCAGCGGTTCTGGTAGCTCTCTCAGGTAGAGTTTCAGCAACATTCCCACTGTTTCTGGATCGTAGTTCGTCAGCTTCACCACTTCTCCTGGGGAGGATGGGGTCACGTGATGAAGTGTCGGAGTTTGTTTGTTAGTCAGAAAGTTTGTGACGAAGAAGACTTATAAGGAAGTTTTGGACGAATAAGAAAGTTTTGGAATAATAAAGTTTTGGGTTTGCAGAAGACATGAAAAAAATGCAAAGAAAACATGGCCAAAATATGCAGTCTCATTCCAGAGAATTTTCTTAACAAGCTGAGAATGAGGACTTGAGACATTTCTGATTATATCCTGTACGCGCACTTCATAAACCAATTAAATCCTCCTCAGTTTCGCCGCAAATCAATAAAAGTTTCATTGAAGCGGAAATTCCTGGCCTTTACACCGAGTATTTTCTGGCAACACTCCCAGGTAAGTTAAAGTAGTAACATGGCAGTAGGTTATCTCACTAGACCACAAACCATACACTTTTATTGGGCAGAAAATGGGGCGGAGGTGACCCTGTGACACTTAATTTCCTTCCAAGGTACTATCAGCCGCCCTTCAGGCCCTCAACTAGCCGCCCTTCAGGCCCTCAACTAGCCGCTCTTGAGGCTCTCAGCAAGCCGCCCTTCAGGCACTCAACTAGCCACCCTTCAGGCACTCAACTAGCCGCTCTTGAGGCTCTCAGCAAGCCGCCTTTCAGGCACTCAACTAGCCGCTCTTGAGGCTCTCAGCAAGCCACCCTTCAGGCACTCAACTAGCCGCTCTTGAGGCTCTCAGCAAGCCGCCTTTCAGGCCCTCAACTAGCCGCCCTTCAGGCACTCAACTAGCCGCCCTTCAGGCTCTCAGCAAGCCGCCTTTCAGGCACTCAACTAGCCGCCCTTCAGGCCCTCGACTAGCCGCCCTTCAGGCACTCAGCAAGCCGCCCTTCAGGCACTCAGCAAGCCGCCCTTCAGGCACTCAACTAGCCGCCCTTTCGGCCCTCAACTAGCCGCCCTTCAGGCACTCAACTAGCTGGAAGTTGGAACACAAGATAATTTCATTAAATCCAGGCCTAACTAGAGGGCTCTCATACAGGGCGGTGTCCCCAGGAATGCGCACTGTTTACACTGCTCACCTTCTGTTTGCATACCTTCCACACACTTCCACACTGAACCTACCTGGCATGGCAATCACATACTGTGATTCTATTACACATACAACATGTCGCTTCCATACCCCCGGTCGTTCAATTTCTATATTATCCAACTATTTCACGATCTTCTGGAGCCAGCATAAAGTTTCTAACAGTCACCCAACTATCACCTCCCTGGGCCGGACTAACGATCAGTCACTAATTACTGACCACGATAGACCATGTTCGTTACAGTCAGGTTCCATTCTTGCACTACACTAAAACTACTCGAGCTTGCCATTTCTGGCGCCATTTACTTTATTTAATCGCATTGAAGCTTATTACTTAATTTCGCAACATTCCCCCCGTCAATGGTTATAACTGCACCCAGCAGCACCCAATGACACCAAGTTTCATGCCTAGACTATTTTCAATCTAATCCCGCGAGAGAAAACTAGATTACCTAATGCTCTTACGACAATATGAAGCTCTACTGGGGCCACACCCAATCCAATATTAAAAAGCTCCCAAGATACATATAACATTTTAGTCTCATGATGTTGTAATCAGCTTCAACGAGGAGAAAGCATAAGTTATTCATTCAAAAACTTTAAAACCTTCTCACATTACCTCATCTAAAGGTGAATAATTAAGTGATTTAATGAGGAGATATTAGAGCCAATAATACAGCATAATAATATTCTCTTATCTGCCAAAACAAAAACTAATGATGAGGTAAGGAAGATTACTTATTAAGTTAGCATGGTGAAGAGGGAACGTTACTGGAATAGCCGAGAAAAAGAAAATTATCAAGGCTGTGACGTAAGCAGGAGCATTTATAACACCTAACCGTTTTATGCCTTATTTTGAATGTGATGATGAGGCAGGCGATCTTAGATTTCTAGAAGTTTAACTTCTTGTGCTATTTTTGGAATGTGATCATGTTCTACGTTGATGACATAAAGATGACATAACGATGACATTAGCACCACTCACCAGTGAAATGAAAGTTCCCCAGCTGTTCAGATCGATAGTTTAGAAATAAGGAATTTTGCGGGGGCCGAACTGAGAAAGGCGTCCAAGTTCAGACAGATCACGATTCTGTCATACATGTGGCAAATGATCTTTTCAATTCGCCAAATCGTGGTGGAGCTTTAAAAAATTAGAGGCCAATCGATGATCCCATGTGATGTGGCGCTCAATAGAAGATGTCAAGATATTTATGGTATGCTAGTGAGTGTAGTCTTAAGACATTATATTCTCGTGCTTGGTAAATATTATAATAATATGCAAAAGGAGTTGTCAAAGAAAAGCTCGAAATATTTTACCTCGGTTGTACATATTTTTGAGTTCGTTCAGCTTTGCCCTGAATCCTGGCACTCGGTAGATTCCTTCTCTGGTTAACGCTGCAAATAATGATTGATAAGAATTACAGAGTTCCAAAATCAGATAATCGGGATTATTGTGCATGGATCGCAAATTTTGATAATCACATTGATTTTAAACGGTCCCCAAAATAGATAGCTACAAATTAACCGCGGTGAATATCCACAGTACAGATAGACGTAGAGTCAACGACTATATTTCGCATTTCGGCTATTATCTCAAATGTCTACTTCTACTACAGGTCAGAATGTTTGTTATTTCGCAACTGATCAGATAAGTAAGATTTATTATACCTTAAAGGGCAATAACTCCAACTTTAAAATTCTCAACACTGAAGGATCGGCACAGTAAACTCGATTACAATCGGATAATGTCAACAGATACTCAACCCAGAGCATGAGGCAGTATGTGACTTTACCAGGTTACACATGAATTATTCGGTATGGGGCATTCGCTCTTTCATCAAGAAATGAAAATCAATATAAAATGTTAACAATTCTCTTACCGAAAGTTTCGATGTACATGACGCTGTCCTGAAAGACCCTACATAGGGGGAGCTTGTCACTGACCCTGCTCCTCTGAACGGCGGTCACTAGAGGCATACCAAACACGGGACCCTTAGATTGGGCAGGGGCGGCGGGTTTCTCTGGTGTTCTCTCCGAGTACACGCTCGTGATAAACTTGCGGAGTTTCTTCTTGTTCTTCTTCCTGGGAGAGAGGAGGGGGTTCAATAAAAGTAATGATTATGTACATTGTACAGGCTGAGAAAATGAATTATAGTCCAGACAGGAGGTTAGCAGTGGAGGGCAGTTTGAAGGATGTCTGAACTTAGAGGTAATTATGAGGAGAAGCAGGCTAGACAGTTCAGCTGATTCAGAACGTTAGAACACTCTGTGATGTTATCTCCGATAAAGTGACGGTGGATTTAGCTCAAGAAGCCAGGTGAGTAGCGTGTGATGGAGTATGAAGTCTATATGAAACACCAGCTGCTGAAAGCAGGGCACTCCGTTTTGAGTGCACTTTCAAGGGAGCTATGTCTGCATTTTAGTTGAAGTCAATTAGCTAATATGGAGAGGGACGTACGTCAAGATGTGTGACGGGGGGGAGGGGGGGGGTACCCCCCTGTGTGACGCAGACACTTCTCCGGGATCATATTTATAACTTTCTATTTTTGAACAGAACGGTAACATCACTCAACTTTTTTTCTGACATATCGAGCTGTCAGGACTCAGGATGGTGTGATGATTGTTAAAACAGATGTTATTATTATTAGGACGTGATGAACAAGACAGGACCAAGATAAACACCAGATCCAGGTAAGTACTATCACGCTCACACATCACCTCTCCACACTAAACAGTCACTCTTCTTAATTTACTCTTCAGCTAAACGTGTGCCCAATTTAAACATTACCGTCAGCAGCAAGACTGGCTTTGGAGATCAGTTAGACTGGACTGATTCTCCTCTTTTTCTTTGCAACAACTGTAACTTGTCAGTATGTTCCATCATTAGTGAAGATATGTGAACGTGTTCAGACTCACTACATACCAGGTGATAATTGAACACGTGTCATGGTTCGTTCCTCCCAAATTCCGGGATTTAATTACAGAGGAATTCTCCGGTGTGTTACGTTCAACATAGAATAAGGAAACATTGTTGGGTACCGACAATATGAAAATAATTCGTTACACATTGAATAGACAACAATAGATATTAAATGAAATTTCAGCACAAACAGTCAATATTTTAGACACGAAAAATTATAATTTTATAACCATAAAATACCCCATACATATGCAAAAATCTGTCCTTATTCAAAAAATTTCAACAATAATCAATATTCGCCGAATGTTCATCTAATTAGGTATGTGGAACAACGCACTGTCTCTGACGACTCGACTAGAAACCGACTCAATTTCTTCTTCAAGTGGAATGTGGAATAATGCACCGGGTCTGGCATCTTCGCTTCTTTTCAATCTGTTAGGAACATGGAATAACGCGTCGTCGCTACTTTCTAGGTTGGGAATGTGAAACAGGGCATCTTCATGTCTTTCAACGTTAGGCACGTGGAACAAAGCTTCTTCGTTATTCTTCATATTTGGAACATGGAATAGTGCTCCACTCTCTTCATCAACACTCCGCTTCATTGGAATATGGAATAAAGCTCCTGGACCTTCATCAGCCTCGCTTCTCTTCACTTTATTTGGAACATGGAATAGGGCTGCTTCGTTGCTCTCCAAGTTGGGAATATGGAATAGAGCTTCTTCATTGCTGTGCAAGTTGGGAACATGGAATAGAGCTTCTTCACTGCTTTGCAAGTTGGGAACATGGAATAGAGCTTCTTCATTGCTTTCCAAGTTGGGAACATGGAATAGAGCTTCTTCATTGCTTTCCAAGTTGGGAACATGGAATAGAGCTTCTTCGTTACTTTCCAAGTTGGGAACATGGAATAGAGCTTCTTCATTGCTTTCCAAGTTGGGAACATGGAATAGAGCTTCTTCATTGCTTTCCAAGTTGGGAACATGGAATAGAGCTTCTTCATTGCTTTCCAAGTTGGGAACATGGAATAGAGCTTCTTCATTACTTTCCAAGTTGGGAACATGGAATAGAGCTTCTTCATTGCTTTCCAAGTTGGGAACATGAAATAGAGCTTCTTCATTACTTTCCAAGTTGGGAACATGGAATAGAGCTTCTTCATTACTTTCCAAGTTGGGAATATGGAAAAGAGCTTCGTTTTCATCACTCAGACTCCTTTTCATTGGTATATGAAAAAGTGCTCCAGGCGCTGCATCATCACCCCTCTTTTGTCTGGATGCTGCTGACCTCTGCTTGTCTCTGATCTCTGATGGTAAGGGGGAGCTAAGCACAGAAATAGCTGCTAACAGCAAGGAGGGAATAACAACCGTTAGGAACTTCATTTCTCAGGCTCACTCACTGGACAACTCAATAACTGGCCTATCATCAGCAGATGTCACGGTTTTTAAGGGAACCATCCACCCTCCAGATCCTCAGCCACCATTAACACCTATATCACGGTTAATCACGCTAAAAAGCGTTCGACCCTTACTTTGCAACTTCATTACTAATGCACTGTTACCCTCATGACGAGATTGCCAGACGCCCCGGCAGCTCTCTCCCTAGACCTGAGACAGATGTCGTGGTGGCCAGGGGACAGGTATCACAGATACGGAGAAAATCTTTCTATCGGCATATTGCTAATGAGCACATTATGTCAGCTTGTCATTGACGGGGCGAGAGAGAGAGAGAGGGATGACATGTCGGCAGGTTAATCTTCATCACAAGGTAAGGAGTAAGGATCCTATAATTGGATAGTCCTTAGCAGGTGATGTAATCTCTTTACTAGATGTGATACAATAAAAACCCTCCTAGACCCCCTCGTCTTGCATCATGCCACAAAAGGATTTTTAAAGACTCCAGCCTGTCACACGTAGAAAGAGTAATGATCCCTGGCTCTTATCAAGAGTTGACGTAATGTCAGGATATGATCCAGAGAAAAGAGATCAAAGTCTCCTGTTACACAGCACGACTTAGCAATTAAAGGCCAGAACATTGGCGGACGTTTTGTATTGCACACGGATATAGTACTGTCACTCAGATCAGAGCAATAGAAAAAATGAAGTTTCGTTTGGTATTCTAAAAAAGAGTATTAACCTGTTTCGCCATACGTTGTCCATCGCTTCGTTGAGATTACATAGCATCGTGGGAACAAGTTTATATTTTCCACAACCAACGTTCCCGTTACAATGGTTAACCATGCAAACGACTTCCTTCTTAACAAATAGAATATTTAGCGTCTATTGGACAGCAGATAAAGGAAGGAACAGCTAACACAGGTGTACAAAGGTGTATGAAACAACTAGACACTGCACGAAAACAATAATTATCAGATCCAACTGTAAGAGACTACAGAAGAACTGTGAGAAAGAGAATATACAGGAAGGTAGGCATGACAGGAGTTATATTTTATACAACCATGTACACAGTTTGTGTATTATAAAGCCATTGTTAATTACTGTTTCCTAAAGACAGACCTGAGACCAACACTCTGCAACTTTTGCTAACTTGTGCACACTTTCGGAAAGAAAGTGACCTGTTCAGGCCAAGGTTACATAATATACTGCAGTACTAATTCTAATGAACTTGCGATATTATGTGCTGAGTACAAGTTGCTAATTCGGTTTCGGTCATCCCCAAAAAAGATTTTAACTTGTCAGTTTTCTCAAAGTAGGTAATTGTGGCCCTGACAGAGCCAGTATTTGATCACACCCTATTTACTCCCTTGTGTTCTATTACGTGGTAGGGTTGTAAAGCCCACTCAGGCTTACTACTTTTTCAACAAAATTCCGACAGAATTACAGCCAAAATTAGCATGTTATTTACATGTTCAGACTATGAACTATTTAGCAGAATAATCAAATGTGCTTGCAATTTGCATGTCAAGAAAGGAAGCCTACTAAACACAAATTCAACGAAACAATGTTGAATAATATTTTTAAATCCGCAATTATTCCAGAATTATAATAATTATTTTACGAAGGTCTCGAAAATTCGAACACATTAATGATATGATACGTTAACTTTGCCCGCATATGGCAACACAACAGAGCATACGATCACGATGCTATATTATCCGCCATCCGGTAACATTTATCCGTTCACACCTAAACTAAAAAGAACTATGCCAGGAATGTAATAAGCCCTAGATGTTAGCAGGTTGAAAAGAATGTAAGAAATTTGACTCACTCGTCTTTGTGAGCGTCCTGATTATCATTACTCCTCATGTCAACTGCTGCAGACGGTGCCACCACTTTCCGTCTCAGTTTCTTCGCTATATCCATCGACCTGAACAAACCGATATTATAAGACACTAATAATTAGTTGTTAAAAGAATCTCAACCTAGTGCCTTATAAATCAGCGTAACACCTTGCAGGGCTGCCGGGGTCCTACAAGTGATAATTTCAAGGATACTCTCAGTCTCCAAGTAGGTAACAAAGTTCAAGTCGGGATATGTATCAACATGCCAATGTGTGACCTGCTTACCCTAGACAGGTTCAAAATATCCTCACCTGAATTTAACATTGTCGTTTCCCCTCAGCTGGGTTGTGGTGATGTGAGGCTGATCTGCTCAAAGGGTTGTGTTCCATTAGTCGGGACATGAACTTGGGGGATTTCGGCTTTTCCATGGGACTGGGTGTGCTGCTTCCGGCACTAGAACTGCAAATATGCAATATAATTAGAATTATATCGGGTTTATGGATCGTTATAATATGAGCTGTTAAGTATTCAAGGTCAGTCTTTTCAAAAATTTTCAGCGAGAAGTTGTGCTCATGCTTTTTTTTCAAGAAGTTGCCTTAACTCAGAGGCAGCAAAAAAATGATGTATGCTGAGTATACAAGACATCTCTCAGTTGTTTTTTCAAGAGCCACTTCAAGACCACTCCTTTAAAAAGTGGGAAGCTATGAGGTAGCAAGGGATGAATGCTGCGGTAGTTGCAGTATTGGATAACTTCCATATTATATATATAATATATAAATATTATTATGATAAACTGTAAAACTACTAGACGTAATGGACTGTTGTGTGTATTTACACAGGACTAAAAAAACACTTGTAATCGTTGATACACTGCATTTACATTGACAAGGTCACAACAAATCACAAACTTAGTACTAGTAACATATATAAACTGAGAAGTGAGATCATATAATCTGAGATCAGGTAACTTTCGACAATCAATTGTTACTTAACATTCGGACATTTATACATGCGCTGCATAACACATTCAATTCTGCAGGCACTCAACAGCCATTTAAGGTATAATGGGGAACATAATACAAAATGAAGAAAAATAAAACACGAAGTGCATTTTTTACTTCAACACACCTTCCATCAGCCTCAAAGCTGGCGCTCGGATGAATTGCGCTGATCAGCGCTTTTGATGGACTAACCCCTCGCTTTTCTTTGTTTTGTTTAGTCATGTCAAGTCGTGAAAGTCAAAGGTAGCACCATGTACTGATTTTACATAGCTAACATGTAAAGCAACGGTGTGAATTAAAGTTTAAACCATAATCCAAACTTTAATATCATAACAGAAAATATGGTTCATAAAATTGAATTAAAATAAGCATTTTGAAATGATATCTAAATCTCAAAATATGAGCCGTGTTGTTGGTAAACAGATAAGTCATCTTGTAGTCCAAAAACTGATGACACAATTTATTGGAAATTACCTTAGACTTCCACATGAGTTGGACTTGAGGGCTTTGTTACTTCGTTTGAAAAAAAGCTCCATAGTTTTCATTATAAATTGAATTCATTTGTACATCTGTTTTATCTAAAGGTAATAAATTGTTATGATGGACAAATCAATCCTTTTTGTTTTTAGAAATCATGTGAGAAAATACAGAATATATATATATATATATATTATATATATATAACTCTAAAACTCTAGTCACAAGAGCAACTGCCTAAACGTGCAAATACAGAAAATACAGAGAATAAAAGAAAGGCTCGAGTTGTTGTTTCAGTATACCAAGATAACTGAAACTTTCTTTTTTTAATTAACTTAAAAAATACTAATATCTAGATAAATGAGAAAAGACAATTTTTGAGAAAAGAAAATTTTATTTTTTACATGAAAATCAATTTATTATAAATAAAAGATGTAATCCCTCGATGTGATAAGATACTACTGAGGCACCTTAGTTACAACTAATCAAATGTATAACTAAAGAATGAGATTAGCTTTTCTACTTATATCCTGAAACAATCAAACTAACAATGCATTGTGTATGTCTATAAAATAGTAGTCTACATGACATGTAGACTATTACAATAGAAAGCAGACTCATTAAATCCAATCAAAGTCTTACATCGCTTTTAAGATCATATCAGAGTTCTGAAACAGCCATGGTTCTATTGATGAAACCTTAAAAATTTTGCAATCATCTTTGCTTTCTGCCCATAGCTCCGGAGCTGAGTTCATATGTGGATTGAACAACCATTCGATTCATAGAACATAATAGCTGCTCAAGACTATATATTAGTAATTAATGTGGTATGCCACATCAAGAAAACAACAATTGACTATTGAGGTTTAATGATGATATGGAATTTGAATTTTATATAAATTTACACTATGTGGTTGGGGCATTTTGCATAGTAAATATGGTTACTACTCCTATATATCATATTATTTGATTGGTATTCGATTCTGATTATTTCCCTAGGAATATGATTATTATATCTCAATTTGGCTTTAGGTAGGGTGCCCCGCTATTTAAAGAACTGGATTCTTCCAGGAAGCATCCCGTGCACAGAGCTTGGTCTACATATATATTAAATTATTAACCATTCATTCTGTATGTGCACGAAAATTTATTTCAATCAATTTTGTTAGCATAACAAATGAACGCCGTACTTTGCTTTACAGGTACCAACAGAGAAAGTTGACATTTTGCTATTTTTATGGACAAAAGCGTGGGGCATGATCTACCATATTATTTGATACAGGAGAAACGCCAAAGTAAAGAGGATTAACCCTTCAGACTACAGCTACAGTGAATACCCCTTCTCTAGAATCCCATGATTGCATGTATTTGTAGAACTCGAATTCTTTCTGTATTTGTAGAACTTGACTTGTGTCCAATGCACCTTTACATAGTGGGATTCTTGTTTTTAAGACTGTTTTGTTTCGCCTAAATATGAGCCTAACTTAATTCTATTCAGGAGGTTCTCTCAAGATGATTTTTATATCGAAGATTTCAAGAGCCTAAACTGTGTATGATTCGCCTCTCCAAACAAAAGTTACCTTTACATAGTGCTAAGCTTTGCAACACTAGCTATTCTTTTCGGGTCAGTGAAACTGAAGAATCTGATGATTGTTACATGAGCACAATCAACTGGTGATGTGGTGGCTTGCATAAAACAATAATTTCAATCGATTGCAGGTTTGAGTCCCATCGTGTGCTATGCCCCACCATGTGCTATGATCAATAAATCCGTGAGTAATCGAGCTAAGGAACTCATTAAAACTACATCGGCCCCCAGTCGTCCAAGCTAAACAATTGGGTTAAGGGGGCAGGGGGGGGGTCCTCATGGAAATTTTCTCAAAATCGATTTTTTAGTTGTTTCTAATAGAGGAGAGTGATAAATAAATAAATAAATAAATAAAGTCAATTTTTACAGCACAGCAATATATATCTAAATATCAGATCCTCTGTAATCATAATGTATAAAAAAAGGAGCTTTTCTCTGTGCTGAAGGATGAATCAAGGCAGATCATGGTTCTGTTAGCAGGCCACCCTAGTTATGGACAATACATATATATAAAATAATTAAATTATAATTTTAAAATTGTGTCAAGATTGAACTAAAACATAACTCAGGGTAAAATAGACGTATTCCCTTCGTCAAATTAACTATTTACAATACTAAACTTAAACGAACTCCGTGTCTATCAGATGCTTTTAATCCCATAGAAAAATATTGTTCCTAGCCGAAATTATTGCCGGTCAAAGGTCAGCGCTTGTGTGTAATTGTATTGCGCAAGGGATTTTTGATCGCGCGTCCTGAAAATCGACTCTAAAAATCTTCTCCTACATTTTTTCCTTTTCACCCTTTTGAAAAAAGGCAATAGTGAAAGGTTACGAATGGAGGTTTTTGCAGAAAAACGTGGATTTTGGAGAACGAGATAGGTGGGTTTAAATATGTCGTGTGTTCGTTCGTTACCATGCAACGAAAAAGTTGGGCGCGCGCGAGGATTGCTTGCGGAGATGTGATGTATAGATAGCCTGTGATCTATGAATGCGCGGCGCGACTGTGTATATGATGCATGTAATGTATAATATTACTATTAGGTAATACACCCAATTTGTACGTGGCACGCGTAGTGTATTGATGTGTACACGAGTATAGTTTACCTTTGCTGATAATTTCTTGAATTACAGATACAAGTTAAGTTCTACGGCAATTGAACTGAATTTCAAGTGTTTCCCGTATTTGATGCATAATTGATCAATATTATTATCATGAAGATTGAAGTGAGCTGATTGGAGCTTATAGTTATACTTAAATTTATAGTAAATGTGAAATGGAAATCTAGCGTCCGCCAAAACGAAACAACGGGCGCAATTCTTGTTTGAGCAATCACTCTGAAACTTTCAGGATATGTTCTAGGGACCATTTAGAAGAGATAAGCCGGATGGAATTTTGAGATAGGCCTTTAAAAATTTTTTATTCGATTTTGAAAATCTTGGACCTCGTTTTTTGATGATTTTTCGAGGTCCAAGATTTTCAAAATCGAATAAAAAATTTTTAAAGGCCTATCTCAAAATTCCATCCGGCTTATCTCTTCTAAATGGTCCCTAGAACATATCCTGAAAGTTTCAGAGTGATTGCTCAAAAAATGTAGGAGAAGATAGATTTTTAGAGTCGATTTTCAGGACACGCGATCAAAAATCCCTTGCGCAATACAATTACACACAAGCGCTGACCTTTGACCGGCAATAATTTCGGCTAGGAACAGTATTTTTCTATGGGATTAAAAGCATCTGATGGACATCACTCCCCTCTATTAGAAACAACTAAAAATCGATTTTGAGAAAATTTCCATGAGGACCCCCCCCCCTGCCCCCTTAAATGAGAAACTCTGCTAAGAGATCCTTAAAATACCCTCCTTGATGCATACATGCATTGGAGTGTATAATACTGTAAACCCATCTCCCTCTCGGCAGATTACATAATATGTGAACGACCCCTATTCAACATGTGCTCACTGGCCACAGCTCTTCACAGGAAAAAATCGTTGGTCCACAAATGAAGGCTCAATGAATACTATATTAATGTATTAATAATTTATGTATCAAAGCCAGCTTCATGCATAATGTTGATGACATGGTCGCCCTTCATATCATTTGTAGAGTGCGCGCCGTTAAATCGGACATGGCTTTTGCATTTTGTGTTCATAAACACAAAAACACATTAGAGATACTAGCAGGAACCCGTATAACCCTAAAGTGGTGTCAAGACTCAAGAGACTAAAATAATCATCACCTATTTAAATCGCATTTTTGACACCACTTGGGGATCCAAATTTTGGGCACTAAAATTTTTATTTCATGGTTGGAGGACTTCGCCGCTTCGACGCGCCGCACAAACTAGCATTCTTGCTTTGCATCGAATAGAAGCAAGACAAGAAGCCTGACAAGATCGTTGCTCTGCTTTACAGAGCAACGATCTGGAAGGGTTGACATCGTCGATCAAATTTCATGGCCAATTTTTTATTTTTTCATGCTGATTTGAAAAGCATAAAAGCATTTGAACCAGTCAAAAAAGTTTCAGTTGTATATCTTTTACAGTTTTTGCGGAAAGTCGCGTTAAAGTTGATGCCGTGGTGTCAGTAAAATGGCACGGATCCATATATATATATATATATTTCATGGCTGGACTTCTACACAATAAAAGAAAGCGGTTGTGATTAGATCTTCGAAAGTCTTTGCATCGTTTATTTACATCAATTCTGAGAAATTATATCATTAAAGTAACTACAACAAATACGAATCATATACAATTGAGAATAAATACAAACTAAAAGCAGTGGGAAAATCTGATGAACTGAAATTTAAAAAAGAAACTGAAAGCCGTTAAAAATGTACTCTTATCTTATCTCTAAATACTGATAACTGATTCTCGGAAAATCACTTAAAATCACAACAAAAACCTGTAAAATTTATACTTAAGTAAAAAATGTAATATGCACGTCTCTGGAATAATGGTATAACTAAATAAAATCTACAAAATATACTAAAACTAAAACTAAGCTCCGGCAGATTTAAAAAGTAGATGGTTACTATCAAGGGTGTTCATACCCCCAAACCGTTCAAGGGTTTTCAATTGGGTCTGATAGAACCCCTCTCTAGCTTCCATAGCCTTTTCTTTGTCTGCTTTACTAATATTAGGCTCAAATACTAAAGTGTCTACTATAATGACAGAAAGGTGCTTACTAAGTGAGGAATTATAGGAG